ACAATATTTTACTTGTCTATAGACTATTTTTTTTATAACAATATGTAAATTCCGAAGTGAGTTGGGCATGTAAATGCAATAATGTTATCAGCTTGGTTTTTTTTAAATATAAAATAATCATACCAATAATCATGTAATATTATTGATTCCGTTTTTATCTGTTATGTACTGTACCATAATATTTTTATGTTGAATATTGATTGTATTTTTAAGATTCATGTTATTGTCTGTCTATGGATTCATAGTACATTGACTCTGTATGGCCGTCGGAAGCATTTTTGCAAATGGTCCGGCCATTATAGAAAGAGCAAGGGGGATGGTGGGAGCTCAACAAATCTTGAAGATATGGCACGCTAGACAGTGGCGTGTCTATTTTAGGCCTATTTGAATACATGTGAATAAGACAAATGCATACGTCTATTGCAAAAATTATAGATTGATCAAAATAAAATTTTAAGCAGTGCAAAAAAAAAAAAAAAATTAGGCCTACTTGAGTTTCTTATTTTTTCATAAATAGGCCTATATGAATATATAAGTGCAGGAACAGAATACATAATGCAATGAATAACAGTGACTGTCTATATTTACGCAACGTGTAGGGTATTGTGGAATATTAACAATATGCAATTACATTTTGCGAATACAGAGGATGCAATATTCGATGCATAATATTTGGAAATAGCCCTACAAATTATTGAATAACATAGATTTTCGTATAACAGTGATTTTAATGTCACTATACTTGCCAAATTTAGCCTGAAGCAATACTGAATCATTTATCACATTCTAGATTAGCTGTGCTTTGTTCAATCAATTACTAATGCCTTGTTTGCATCTGCTGGCCTTATACCGATTATACTTTAATGTTAGTCAATTATGGCAGACAGCCCATGTACTGTAGGTACAGTAAACCTCCATGGACAGAATCTGTCCATGGAGGTGATATGCCTAATGGAGCACGATTCAATAGCGATCCAGGTTTGTATTGTGAAATGGTGGAGGGGCGCAAATGTTAGAATGTGGCTAGTTTTACAGGGATTCAGAAGCCATACTATGGAAACTTCGTTTACCTGCGTGTATATAATATAAAACGACGATGATGATGAGAGGGTGAATATAATGGTTAAAAAATGGCTCCTCTGCCGAGTAGCACAGCACACTTCAAAAATGAATGTTCATCACTTTGGGGTTTAAATTTTAATTGCAAGTACAGTAATCAGGGTCGGCTTGACCCATATACCTTTGGCCGACACAAACCCCCTACATTTTTAGGGGTTTATGTTAATTTATATCTCTAAACCTTTTCAAAATCAATCAATAAAATTAACGATTGTCAAGTTGAAATGTGCATGGGCAATACAAAAACAAGCGCATGATGGTTTTTTGTTATAACATTACAAATACAATGTGATGCGAACATTAATAAATTCATAGGTATACAAGTAAATATTTATTTTAAAAAGTAATGGAATTGAGAATTGGCCCTGCTCGGTAGGCCAAGAATGTTGATTTGGAGAAACTGAAATACAAGAACTTTAAGAAGATACAGTAGGCATCTTGTGTACAGGTACATGCTCCCTTTCCCCCTACCAGATTCTTTACTTGAGTTTTGAGAGAAATAAAATTATCGTTATGATTCAGGTGTCTGTGGTGAAATGAATTTTAAAAATCCAAATAAAATATTAAATTATATAAATAAATAGGGTTGCTAGGCTACCATATCCTTCCCACAAATATTCGTAGGTGTAGATTAGGGAAAGCCCTGATAAAGTATAAGACATGTCAATGTACACTAACTGAACCTTGTAAGACGTCTATAGTGCTTACTTTTAACCAAAATGAAACACTTCCTCTCATTCCACAAGAGTATAAGCAAATATAATAATGATGATATGGATAATGATGTTGACACCTGGGGCGGTAGGATTTTTCAAGGGGTGGGGGAGTATGCATCCTCACGCTCCCTCGTAGAAACGCTACTGCTATAGCGTAGTAGAGAAAGCATTATTTCCTCCTGGCCTACACTGTCGGGCATTTTGGCTTACAAAAAAATCGGTAATTTTCAAATTCGATTTAAAAAAAAAATCTTTATTTATGTTTTACTGTAAACACCTTTTATCTTATATTTTAAACACCTTCGTCTCGCATTATCTGCGTTACAACAGAATGAGAAAAACATTTTTAGAGGTTTGCATGATTCGGATATGAATGTATTGAATAAAAAATGTACAGCATTAGGAATGTATCTTTCACCTAAAAATATTAATAATTTTTAAATAATACCAAATGTATATATAACCTGTAATTTGATATTCTTATACACCCTCACAAATCATTCATTCATTCCTGATGATGACATAATTAATGTCGAAATATTGAATCCCAACACGATGGCATGAATTTCAATACTTGGAGTATGTATTATACTTTGTTCTCACAAATCACCATGTTATATTTTCATATCCGATATTAAATCTGTTGAAATGCGCATAAAACAATAAGTATACACTATTCATTTGATCAACTAATATGAATAAAAATAGATGTAGGCATACAAATCAGGTTTCAAAAATATGTGAAAATGCATGACATATGGATACATGTTTTTTGTAGATAAATGGTAAAAAAAAAAAATATTACAGTATATAATATTTCATATAAATCTTCTTATAGCTCTTTTGTATCGGATATTTATCAAACTTTTTTCTCTATCAACTATTAGCTCTTTATGAGAATCACACACAAAAACTATGTTGTGAATAAATTATGTATTTTCCTCAAAAACTATGCATATTGAAGATAAGTAAACATGTTACTTGATAAGAATTAATAAAAATAGAAGTTTTGAAAAATAAATACGAGACAAACATGTTTTATATTTATTGTGTAGTGGAGCTGGATATCTTAGTGGATAGGATGCTTGCCTTCTAATCCCAGTGTTTTGGATTCACAGCAAAAAAACATCTATTCCCTAAGCCTCATAAAGAGACTTCACCGATAAAAGCATAATTTTATATCATCTATTTATGAGGACCCTGAATATCATTTGACCTTCTAAGATATGCTGGGTCACACAGTATATGGTTTAAGAAAATGTGTATATAAGCAGTGGTGGCTCCAGAAATTTGCCAACAAGGGGTCTGGCATGTCCAATGGAGGGGTCCAAACCAAGGGGCCGATTAGAGCCCCAGTCAGTGTCCTGAAACAAAACAAAAAAAATACATGTATGGTTCACAGGGCGAGTTTTATGACCTCAGTATGTTCTAAAGTGTGCTTTTAGACCACAATATTAGGGATTGGCAGTCAAAATAACTTTGTTTGGATAGACCAATTGACCTCGTCATGGCGTCAGAAGACAGGAGGGTTGAGGCCTGTCCGATGGAATGGTGGCCGGCGCCACCATTGTATACAAGTAAAGCACATTAATAAAAAGCATGAAAATATAAAACAAAATATAAAACAGAAAAGTGTTTTTATCGTAAATTTGTTCAATCACTCAAAATTTCTCCTTTTTCTAAAGCCCTGTCAAGACTATAACACTTTATTTGACAAAAACATGCAACATGCCTAAATATGGTCATGACATCACATCATGGCCATATATAGGCACATCATGACTTTATATGGGCATACAACAGTTTTTTGTAAAAGAAAATTTAGCTTTATTATACACTCTTAGCATCAATCATTACTTTTTTTTCAGATAAAAAACAAAAGATTGGATTTTACAAATACAAACTTCCACTAAGCCTTCAGTTCCCCAAAACCATTGGGTATGGGGCCCTGGTAACATAGGGAACTTAAATGTCCAAAGTATTTGGATCCATTTAAAGCAAAAAGAACCAAAAACAAAAAAATTAATAATTAACTTATCTTATTGTATGGCTTTAGGAATGAAGCTTGCAAGGGCGTGCCAGGTCTGCATAAAAGAACGCTTTATATGCAAATTTGTCTACAACATTTCTTGCATCAACATTTTCAAAATTCATCATTGGCCGTATTCGACTGGTCGTTCTTCATAAACCATGGGCGTCTGCGTAGTGGTAAAATTCTACTCTATGAAGACCAGTCAAATAGAAAACTGGTAAATACTGAAAACAAAATGGCTGCATAGTTACCGCGGTACACTCTGCGTAATCAAGGTTGCTCGGGCTTGTTTCAGTTTTTTTCATCCCATTCTTTTAAACCCCATCTATTATGTAAACAACATTAATATACAAGTACATAAGACCTTGATGCAGTAGTGTAACAACTAAAACTCTTGCGTGAAAACAATGCGCATAAGTACCGTGGTGTCAGGATCAAATAAATCAGTGTTGAATCACAGTAGTATTGTGTAAACTGAAGCATCCACCGTTTATCTTGAAAACTGTGAGGGCCGACCATCTCTCGAAAAATGCATTTCAGATTTGTGTGATCGCTTGACTACATGATATCGTCTGCTGATGGTCGGTGGCAGTCTGAGCAGCAGTGGCATATCTAGTAGTCTTGGGGGGGGGGCTGAAGGGGGTGCGAAGGTGGAGTGAAACTTGATGATTAATTGAGGGGTGCTAGGTCGCAGAATGAGGTGGTACAAGGTGATTTTTAACTACTTGTGTATGATTTTTTTTTGTTTGGGACATTTTTAATGGGTGGAGCAACTTTCCATTTTTTTTGGGAGGGGGGATGAATGTTCTCCCCCCCCCCCCCCCCCCCCCACTCCCCCCCCCCCCAACCATATTCCACTGATGAACAGATCGTCACTAAAAATTATTCTTCACATACAACTTGTCACATTACGGTCTTAATAGAATCTTAGCCACAAACACGTTGTGTATGCCATGCTTAAAAGTTTGAGTCAAACTTTCTAATGTGCGCTTCAGTACTTGTATTTGTGCATCTGCTACAGCCAGTTTTATGGCCCAAATGCATAAAAATTGCATTCTAGTATCATAGTTCTTCAGCTACACCAAATGTGAGATTACACTTGAAAATAACAGTATTCTTGAACATGTATATAAATCTGGTTTTTTTTTATCTAACTTCTGTATCAAGAATAGAAATTTCATTATTTTGTTTTATATGTATGATATTAAAAAAAATAAAATACTTATTCCTGAAGCTGATTATGTAGGTGAATCTTATCCCTGTAAATGGGAAACATTTGACATCAAAATTAGGATATACACAGTACCATGTAATCCACAGAAATTCATTCTAATGGACAGTAAAACCATCAGTATACTGTATATATCTTAAATAACCTTATAAAAAATAACACATAAAAAAGTACAAATACTGATAAGATTATTTGAGGCAAGGTTTCCTCACTTGCTATATTTTTTATATAATTATATATCTTTGAAAATAATAAATCCTTAAAACTACATCTAATACCAAATTAACACAATACAAAATGTTACACGAGCGTTCCCACCAAATATCGCTGTCGCTTTCACGCAAATAACTTAAAATCTTGCCGATACTGAAGATACATGTAATGCAATGGAGTAAAAGGTAGCCACACCCCTTGAACATACGTACAGATCTATGCTAAATATTATAAGCAAATATAACAGGCGTTTGCGATGTCTGTTTTCCTTACATGGATGTTACACAGGACTCTAATAACACAGATATAAAATCACACGGATGCGATGTACAAGGGGACGCTTGCTAAATTCCTCCTTGCAAGCATGCATCCTGCATATGCAACATTTGTCCTGTGTGAATAGGGATTAGGCAACATGTATTCTTTATCCTTATCAACCCAATTCCATATCTGTCTGGGCTTCATAATCCCCTTCATTGTCCCAGTCGTTGTCATCTGATTGGTCAAAATCCCACAGATCTTCAAGAGCACATACTTTAAAGAAAAGAACAAAAAAAAAAACCTTTTAAAATCATAATTTTAATTGTTTCATTGGAAAATAAAATTTGCACACAATCTATGAATTTTTCAATGTTAAATAATTTAAATCAAGAATTAGGAATACTTGTAATAATTCCCTTTGTTAGATGCTGTAATTCAACTTCATAGGTGGTAGTCAACATATTATTAACATGATGTGAACATATACAAGATAGAAGATATCTTCAAACTCATGAACATGATTGCTGATGTAATATGCAGCCAACAAAAACAATATTATGTAGCGATAACTTAATATAAAGAACAAATAAACATCAACCACATCATAAATGCATATAAAATAAAATTATTTAAGAAAACAGAAGATATTTGATAATGACTAATGTGATGATGCGATTTGTATGTGTGACGGTGAATGCGCTGCAGCTCTTCTCGTTTGCTCTATTGTGCTTGTGTTTGGACTTCCAAACTGCATATTCCTGGACTTCACAACTGCATATTGCCAAAATAATTAACTGCATATTGCCAAAATAACGTGTGCAGGACAAACGAAAACTCGTTGCAAGAGCCCGCAAAAGCAAATATACCGCGGTTGCGAATAGCTGCGTATTATTCCCTTAATTAATTTTCTATAATAATAACTATATTAGTTGTTAAAATATTACAATAGAGAATTTGAACAGACACTGAAAATTTGCTTTCTTTGGAGAACTATTATAGTTGAGCCCAAACGAGGGCGGCGCCATCTTTATTGTTGTTATTGTAAAGCTATATGTGATCGCAACACGAGGGGATTTCGTGCAAATCAGGAACTATCGCATGTGGCCAGCAAAACATGTTAATTTCTCCTTCCGGAAGCTAAACTTGGTGTCTCTTTTGTTTAACACACCGAAGATATATCAAACCTGCGTATATAATCGTTTTTATTCGTTTCACTTTATCGCGAGTTACAAAAAACACATTTTTAGTGGGGTAAATATTTCAAGTCGGCGATTTAGCCTCACCCTAGGCCGACTAAAAAAATCGGCCTGCGGGGGTATCATTTTAGTCGAGGTTCACGTCATTTAGTCGTAGTGCTAGTCGAAGTTCGTTTTAAGAATACGAAATGATGTAATTTTAAAGTTTTAGCTCGAACTACGACTAAAGTTCGTTTTAAGAATACCGGGGTATGACAATCCATTCAGACTGCCAACAACGATTGCATGACCATCGTACGACGCAGTGTGTTCCCGCCTTTAATGGACATAAGAATTAATTTCTACCTTCTTGCTCAGGGATCCCTTCCGATTGCTTCAACAGTTTCAACAAACCGCTCACAAGATGTACATAATACTGCTCCACATCAACACGGTGCTCGTGGAATAAATTATCGTTAAAGGATAACGTGTGCAGAACCATTACACCACGCCGAAGAAACACAAGTCTATTAAAAAAAATACTTAATTATAATTATACTGTAGGAATATTTAGATGTATACCAACAATCATTTTATAGTTTTGCTAGTACGTCAAAGGTCAAGACATACACAAATAATTTAGGATACTACAAACTATATACTGTACATTCATAAACAGAATAATAAGCATTCATCCCATACATGCTCTGTGCTAGGCTAGATCACTTGTATTATATGCACTGAACTTTGACATATGATGTGCAGTTGAAACTATTAGATGGCTCAAATATTATTACCCTCACAACTAAAAATAACTTCAATTTTTGAGCTTTAAATAATGATCACTTTCATCCCATAAGTGGCTAGTCACTCACTTCTAAATGAAAGAAATATAAAATTATAAAATTATTTTTGTTCTAAATTCTTGTGTAAATATTTGTAAAGCTCTGTTCACACTATCAAATTTGCCTAAATATGGTCATGATGACATTACATCATGACCATATATGGGTGCATCATGACTATATATGAGCATACAACAGTTATTTTTCAAAGAAAATTTGATAATCTGGACAGAGCTTAAGAATTATTTGATATCTAATGAAGCATAACATGTTCATATAACAATCTTGTTGAAGAAGTTAATTTGTTGTCAATGGTATACTTGTTAAATTGTTAAATCTTTTCGGTTGTTGTGAATTTTGATATGTTACTCGTCATTCTTCCGTTTCAGTTGGTTTTATTACCTCAAGAGGTTTTTTTTTAAAATAATGTTATGTAGTTTGTGCGTGGGTGACCACATATATTTCAGGAACATTTTATAGAATTTAGAACACATTTCTTGGGATGTTTTAATTAACTTTTTAGTTGAAAGGATATGTACATTTTGAGTTTAACAATGCCTGTTGAAGTAGACACATAGGTGATAAAATGAAACCTTACCTTTGGTCATAGTTTTCCTGAGTTGATATCAATTCACGATACTCCTTATCAATGGTCAAGATGACCGACCTGATCAGCTGTGAGCTACAATTACAATCAGCCTCTACGACCAACCTCATACCACCAGGATGAACAAACACCAGGCTTGATAAAAATACAAAAATCTGCGGGGAAAAGTATTAGAATACTGCTATAGTAGAGGGGGGAACCTCTGCAGGTTAAATTTGAATCCAGAAGTTGCCACCGATTGCACCACCTGTTGTCGCAGTATACACCCACCTTACAGCTAACTGTACAGAATCTCAACAGTCTAAGGTCTAGTTCAGAATAGGTGGATAAACCCAGCTCAACTCACCGGGTTTATCCACCTGCCAGTCTAAACTAGGTGGCTTACCTCAAGCCGGGCTGTGTTCCTATAGTAACTAGGCCTGGCGCGCCACCGTGTTTAACTTTTCTAAGCCAGGCTTTAATCTTTGCGAGGGGTCTGGCATTGACTTCAGGTGACGAAATGACCAATCAGCATTCAATTACGTACGCTGTGAGCGAGCGTACGTTTCGCGAGCAATGTTTTGAAACATGTTTCCTGGTTACGGTTCATTATTATGCAAATTATCACCTGGTTAAACCCGCTAGTCTGAACGCCCGGCAAAGTTAAGCCAGGCTTAATAATGAGCCTGGCTTATCTCCAAGTCTGAACGTAGCCTACAGTATCCCTCGCATGTGGGGAAAAGAGACTTTAAAAGATGATGATGATTATGCCAGCTAATATTTTAAATATGTTAGGAAAGGATATTTCATTACAATATTGAAGTAATGTCAGATTAATATTAAAATAATTGTATTAAATAATATTATATCACCTGAACATGAAAGAACTCATAATATATCTTCCATTAAAATTAGATTCAACTATGTCAGCAATACTGACATATATAATACTAATAATAACAACAGTATTAAAATGATAACATTAATAATTATTAAAAATACTAAACAAAAAAAATCTTATTCCTAGATTTGTTTTAAATCATTTTTTGTGAAATTTGTATGAAAAAAGAAGAAAAAAAATATCTTTTTGTAATGAGTTATTTTATGCAAGAACGACTGACCTTTGACCTCATCCATGTAGTTTGAGTGGCGGAAAAGTTGCTGATACCAAGCACAGCACATTCGTACAATTTCAACAGCAGACATGAATCTACATAAAATCATAATTTACATTAAATAAATTACACAACCACAAAAAATAAGGTAAACAATACTAACAATAATAAACAAAAAATACTAACGATGGCAGTGATGATGACAATGACAACAACAATAATAATAATAAACACTTGCAATAACTGCTTTCATTACCTTTCTGATTGCAGAACATTTTGGCAAGTTCAAAGTTTGCAGCTAAATTCGTAAGTAAATCAAGCACCAGACGGACTAGCTCAGTATTGGTAGTCTCCAAATCCAGCAAGTTTTGTAAACATTCTTCAACCAGCAGAGGCTTAAATCTAAAACAAAATTAAAATGGATAAACAACAGGATGAACAATAGTATATAACTGCATTTTGCAAAGTAAAAACAACAATTTAGTAAAAATATTAGCTGAAAAGTAACAGATAGAAAAGAGGATGGGAATGTCTCAGAATATACTACGAACCACCAGGGGGGTAACTCTGCACTGCAACGGGTCCCCAGTACAAATTTCAAGTTACTGAACTAGAACCAATTTAGCAATTTATATTTATTTGTTACAAAATTAATAATTGGAGGTAACTTCCCCTTGTTCTAAGTTACACATGCATCACATATAATTACCTGGACAACAAAGATTTTTCGCATTTCCTTGAGAGTACGATCAAGACTTTCAAAGCTTCTTCCATTACAGGATTCTGCTGGCAGTGTTTCTGCTGTACAACCAACAGTCTAAACAGCTTCCTCAGCATCATCCCAGAGTTCATTACAGCGGGAGCATTGCGGACGGAGACTGTAGATTTGCATGTACCAGACATAGTCTATGGTTACAAAATCAGAACAGGACTAGTTCATCAAGTGAATTTTGAGAGGAATTTTAAAGACTGATTTATAACATTGCAGTACCGCTGCTAATTGGAGATCTGATTCAACACTTAGCCACTAAGCGCAAGCTAGGTTGTCTAGTGGTTAAGAAACCAGGTTAGTTATCTGGAGGTCTTTGTTACTCTTTTCGACATTTACAAAATGTAGATGGACAATGCACACAACAAATACCTAGCAATACTAATATTATACACCAAACCAATTTATGCTAACCTTGATTGCTTAAGTGAAATTAGGTTCACAATTCGAACTTACATCTATAAGAGGTGCTGACACATCCATGTCAGTGGCAGTAGTAGTAGCTGAAGAGGGAACACCCTCCATGTCTTGCGGTGCTAAGATCCCATTGGTTACATCTACACAACACCCAGCCAGCCTCTGTAATACTGTTAGTGAACTTAGTACATTCTCCTCAGTGCAGCCAAATGCAGAGTTCTGACCAAAAAATCTATCTAGTGATCTGGTTCCAGTACTACTTGAGGATGTCAGGATGCTGGAAGATGGCAGGATGTTGCTATCCTGAAGAAGTAGTTTGTCCAGATGCTCAATATACAGTGTCAAATGATGTTCAAGAGCTGGCAATAGTTGGATGGCAGTGCTGAAGCTTAGCTGATCATCAGTCTTTGGTGGATTAAAAACATCGACTGGTCCTTCAGTAGTACTGTTTAAGAGTTCTAAGACTGTTCTTAATACTAAGTCCACGTTTTCGGAATAAAATGGCTTTGACATTTCACCTCTATTTACATTTTTTTCCATCTTGGAATTGATCCTAATTGCAAAAACACAATAATAAATTTAAATTAAGATTGAATCTCTTATAAAAGTATAACAAATATACAAAAAAAAAATTTGCAATGGGACCACAATTCAATCTACTCACCTCCTCTCGGACCAAGCACTAGCACCACCCTCTTTGGCGATTGAATATTGGTCTCGGGAGTTGCCAGGATTCAATAATGTTATCAATCCATTATTTAAGTAGCAGTTTTCTGAATACGATAAGGATGTGGGCTTTTCTAGAACAGCTCTGAGAAGTCTGGGACCACTGTAGTTACCTTTGGGAAAAATAGAAATGGATTAAACAGCTGATTATACAAGGAACTGTTCTGCTAGTGATACTATGTTATTGGTAGAGTAGCTTGCCAGCCCCCAAAATCCATAGAGTTACAGTACTGAAAAGCGAAAACTAAATTAACTACAGTATTATGTCGCTGATATAATTTATCATTTTTTTATAGGTCTAGAAACACAAAAGACTAACAAACTTCCTTGAAGCAGTTTCACACAAGGCACACAATAATTCCTTGAATACCTTGGCAGAACTATGACTTCAGGAAATGGCACAATGTTATGTCAGGCATCTCAACAATGGATGACAATGATGATGATAATGATGATGACATTGATGATGTGATGGCGGTGGTGGTGATGATGACGGTGATAGGCAACTTACTTGATATATATTTCTAATTTCTTTAATTTTATTCTTTTGTATCATACATTATACTAATAGTATGATGTACAGCAGTTGGGATAATACTGTACAGTACAAAGTTAAATGAGAGCAACTCCTCCTGTAATTCCGTTTCTATTCCCATAGGAAATATTCATTTCCACGAAATCATACAGGTACTCAATTACACTCCATGGAGAGACACAAACATGTACCTTGCCCAAGGGTACCAGAAAAATATATGACAGATTTGAACTCCGACCTTAATACTGATAGCCAAAATCACAACCACTGTGCCACACACTATACATGTATGCTATAATATTTAACACCAGTGATGTATATTTCAAGACATTTGGGGTATGTTAATGTATTGTATACAAACCAAGTTATCTTAATCACCGTCAGAAATTTTAAGTGTGTTAAAACTGTTGTCTGTTTAAACATGTGTGTAGGATTTATGATGAGAGATTTAAGGCTATGTTCCCTTTTCAACTTACCACTGAATTTCTTGGATGGGCATACAAGGCTTATTGTTTTAGGCAGTGATGGGCCCTTGGTTTTATTTTTGTTTTCTTCAACTGGAAAAAAAAGTAGAGTCAATTATTAACACGTTGGCTGCCAGCGACGAGTATTATACTCACAGGGTGTTGCTGAGGGCGCCAGGAACGAGTCTAGTCATCAAAATCGGGGTAACATTCTAGCGTTTATAACTTCTTTGTTATAAATTGTAGAACCACAGACTCAACGGCTGGCAGTTCGGGGAAGATACACCTAGACGATAATGTACAAATGATGTATGTATGTTTGTTGTGTTATGTTGCCGGTAGTACACTCGAGCGGCTCAAGTGGGGGCACCCTTTGAACATATACCAATGCATGCAGAAAGCAGATGAGAAAACTCGCACTTGGCATAGACAATAAAAAGTGCTATCACAGTGCCGTCGACAGTTTACTCGCCCCCTAATATTTTCCCGCCAATTTATTAGACACATCATTTTGATGATATATGACTGGAAAAAAATTCAAAAAAGTATGTTTGTACATGTAAACTTGTTTTGGCACACAGGAAGGAACCTTTAAAAAAAGGTTTGGCAGTCAACATGTTAAAGCTCTAATCCTTTATAAATTAGAAGAATTTTCTATTTAATATCTTATTGTTATGTTAATATCTGTATCGAGTTTTATCTAAATTGTACTCATTTTTTAAATAATTGTATACAAGCAATTTAATACTTTCGTAAATTCGTACAATGTCATTGATCAAATGCACTTGTGTAGAAAGTAAAATTATTGTGTTTACAACACTGTTTTTTAAAATCAATATTTGTAATTATTATCATTGCCAGGTTCCCTCCAAATTTTTATAGTGGGTGAGCCTGGTAAAATATGAGTCTTGAAAACCTCTTAAAAACAATTGCCAGTGTTCAATCTGTAAATTCATCATATCTGTAGATAACAGCGACAGCGGATTCACTTTACTGTAAAAGCAAATGTCATCAAATCCTTACATTCAGATGATATATGACCACTACTGACCTAAACTCATCAGCAACCAAGCCAGATTTATGGTATGAATAACCAGACCACAAGTATATGATGCGATGACATAGCCAAAGATGGCACCTTGCATCAAAACATTCATTAATAGTAATACATTGCAAAAATAAATATATTAAACTGAGCCTCCACTCACCTGTAGTATTTGTATCTATTTTTGCAGCTTTTCTGACAGGCGTATCTCCATCTTGAGCCATGAATGATCGGCGAGTCGGGAAGGTTGTAGGTGTACTGGGTGATTTACCTTTCAATCCCTTGGGACTTCGTCTCGGTGGTGTCGTTGGGTTACAAACCGGGGACATCGTCACCCCATCAACTCTCTGCTGTCGTTGCTCTATGGATTTACATTTAAAACTTTGTGCTTCTAAAAGCTCTCTATCTTTGAAGTGGATCTCTGTCTTCAGTTTTTCCAACTGAAAAAAAAAAAAAAAAAAAGATACCTATGAATATATTTTATGAAAGTAAAAAAAAAAAAAAAAGAGAGTTAAGTAAATTGCTTATAACAGGATGCAGGAAATGCTTCGAGATTATGACAAAATATTAATAGATGACCGATAGCATTGAATCGCAAAAGGTCGGGCTTATTTTTAGTATGCATAGCCATTTTCAGGATTATCGTTTGCCAATTGAGACCAGAGCTATGATATTCTTGTCACTGGGTTTAACCGTTAATTGTTTACAATCATTCCCAACCAAGTATAAACTGCACAAACAGCTACTTAATTTTCAGGATGTAAAAATAGAAGACTATTATATTACAGTAGTATCATTTGGTATACTATTTAATAATGACTGGATGTTAATACCTATTATAAAGGTTATCAGGAGCAATTAGGCAGTGATGTGCTAGAAACACTATCGCCAAAGTATTATTGTCTTGTAATATAAGTTTTCAACAATGAACCTGTTCTGTATTGAAAAACCATACTATTACTTAGATAAAACCTGTTGTACAACAATCGGAACATTTTTTTTATTTTAAATATATTCTTTTCTTGAAAAACTAGACAGTATAGGATGTATACGAAACACTTTAAAACATGTAATTGCCATGTCAAATTGATATTACATTTCTACAACAATGTATTTTTCATTAGGTTTACTAAACAATATATTGAATATTATTATGTACTGGTAATTGAATTTTTTTATATTTTTCACTTTATGTTGTCAACATGTATATTCAAAGATTTCATAGGCTTTCCCTGCATCCATCAACATTTAAATACTCTGAATATTAACTGTTTTAATTTTTATGAATGCATCACACGAAAAAATATGTTAATAAACATTAAAAATATTTGTCATAATGTTTTTAATTTTAAATTCACATATATGTGTTGCCAGTAAATGATTGATTAATTGACTGACTAATTTACACATTATCATTCTAACTGACCTGTTTCTGAAGTTCTTTTTCTCTTTCACTTTTTTCTGTTTTAGCTTCCTGTTCCTTTTGAATCTTCTCAAGACGGATTTTATTAAGTTCTGCGTTTAGCTTGTTCAGATTTTCACGCAGGACCTTTATTTCACCATCCTTGACAAATCTTTCATTCTGTAAAGTTTTCAACTTTATAAAAAAAAATATTATTATTTTATTTCTTCATAGAAATCAAAGATATTAAAAATAATTTTTAAGGTTTTCATGGCAAAATAACAATTCATAAATACTGTACAATACAATAAAAATTTATTTCAAGCAATGTTTCAAGCAATATAACATTATTTCCAAAAGCACATAACAAATAATGATAATGATGGTAATTCATAATTTTACATTTTTGTAAAAAAAGGTGCCTACTGTAGCCTATCACATTTGCTGAACTTGCAAATTATACTTTGTTTAATTTAATGAGAAATTCTATATTTATAGCAAATATAGACGGTAAAATGTTAAGGGAAAAATTATTATTATAGTGTGACAAGAAACTTATGTTTTTTGGTTGAATCCCATATTTGACTTGCATGTAATCACTGTACAGCATGACTTGCCACCTAAGATATAAAATATCACTGTTCTATATAATAAGGCCAAACAAAACTCTTTGACTCTCTCTCTTTTCGGATTTTTTTTTTTTTTTCACGACTGTTCTGCGAGTATCAATAAATTTCAATGACAGATGCAAGCCATCAACCGTGTCGGGTCAACCGTCCCACTACGTATTTTGGATTGTTTTGTCACTGTACAACGTGACGCTGCATGCCTAGCGATCACAACAGGCCGTGTTGTGTGTCAGTTGATGAGCTGATTTTACCAGTATTTTATCAAGCATACAGTTTCTAATTATTTTATTGCAAACAGCTTCAGACACAAACATGCTTACGTGTCAAGGTACTCTATCAAGAACAAACTGTGGGATGGGTCCCACAGTACATCAAAGCAAGTTATTGGCTACTTTGGCGCAGATTCTGCAAGAAATATTCGATGGGGAGAAATGAAGGAATTTGTGGGATTGAACTTGGATGCGAGACAAAAAATTAATTTTGTTTGGCCTTGAAGATAATTTATGAAAATTGTAATTTTTATAATTATATTTTATGATGTGTTTGTATTGTGTTTGGTTTTCAGTTTGTATTGTACATTTGTAACTTTGCTTGTTTTGTTGTAATGTTAAAGCACTATGTACTGTAAATGGCAAGGATGATGATGAAGCACATTTGGAAAATATTGATATTTATGTTTATAATAGAATTCATCAATCTTGTTAAGACCCAATTCAATGAATAATTACATTATGTATCAATGTACTGTACTATTCTCCATACTTCCTATATTATAGATATATTGATATACTGTATTTTAAATTGGATGAAATGCTACAAATCTAACAATAGAAAAATCAATAGTCAAACATTGAAAAAAAGAAAAAAACTTATCATCTTCCAATCAATTAGACAAATACAATTTAGTTTACATTGACTTAGTTAGACAAAAAAAATCTCTAAAAACATTAAACTGATTACTGTAATTTTTCGAAATATATCCTTATGTGGATTTTTTTTTTTTTTTTTTTCAATTTTTAAGCTTAGAGTAAATAAAATAAAATATCAATCCTCATAATTATTAGGTCAATGCAATGTAATGTAGATACAGTAGTAATGTAGTCAGATATATACGTTACAGTATAACGAAGTCTCAAAGCACTTGAGGAGTGGACTAGCTCGTACGGTAACTTTCTTCTCCCCCAAGGGCCTCTTCACGTCTGAGCTACCCAGTAAACCGGTACCAGTTACTCTTGTCTGTCCACATAGACAATGAATTTATAAACACATAGTAATTCCTTAAAAATAATTGTTATAACTCACCTCACTTTTAGTTTTCTCAAGTTCCTCTTTGGAAACATTTAGAAAGTCTTGTAAATGACTTGTGCTATGGTTTTCCACCACAGACACTTCAGACATACCAGCATCTTTCGATGACAAGTCTGCAGGTGGTGTCAAACTGGCTGTTGTCCCCCGTGGTATTTCAGATGAATAAGATGGGTAATTATCAGTTGCATTTTGAACATTTGTTGAAGATTTACTTCCAAATAAATATTTTCCTCCTTGGATTGTAGATGGAATGCTGACGTTGGTCTGTACGGGATTCTGTTTCCGTAGTTTTTCTTCAAACGGAATGGAATGGGATGAATGCGAACGAGGAGAATGAGGATGATAATAAACCTTTGTGTGATGCGGAGGGGTTGTTGAAGCATACTCCCGTGTATAGTTTTTCTGTCGGTTTTCATATTGGGACTTTTTGTTAACAGACAACTTGGAATGTTTAGAATTTTCAATCTGAGTCAGTGCTTGAGAGGCCATCTCATCCATAGCCATGAAATCGTCTGATGTAAAATCATCATCTTCATCTTGGAATGGGTCCGAATCATCAATACCTTCTCTTGTTGTCATCATTTTTTGTCTCTTTGCAAATGGCAATGAACCATTACGTAAATTTGTTTGTACATTGCTAACGTTTTTGTAATAACCTTGCCGCGATTTCATTCCTGCACTACCACCAGAGCAGTAGGAATTAGTCGACATCATGACATACTATGTCAAATTCTGAAGAAAAAAAAATTGATTGAAAAAATATCATTTAAGAATGGAATAGTGGCAGTAGAATAGATTAGTATTTAAGAGAACATCATTTAATATATTTTTTTATAGGATCTTGAAGTGAAAATGTCTGTAAACCACCACCACCAGTAAAAGTAAACTTTCTTTAAAATTAGCATTTTTTTAATTTGAGGTTTCTTCTTCAGATTTTGTATTACTGGAGCTATCAGTGGTTCCCATTGGTACATGCCTAACTACTGTAGCCTAGGACATGGACTTAGCAACGCTAGAAATTTTACAGGGCCTAGGCCTAGTGTAGGGCTTAGGCCAATTGTAGGTGCTTGGTTCTTTTTCATGCATCTGTCTTTTTTCTCTTATTTTGATTCTCTCTCATTATATAATTTAATACAGTACAGTAGGAGATATTCTATGCTAACACTTTTTAGCAGGCATTTTAGTAGATCTGCAATAAGAAAAGAACCGAACTTTAAATTGATACCTCCATGATCTACTGTACTGTGAACTCTCCTACCTCTAGGCCTAAGCTACCGTCAGAGGGCTTACTCACCCTTTTAAAAATAGGTTTAAAAGGTTTCTACTCTACTGTCACGTCTGCAGCTAGCAGGGCAGGAGGAGGAGGAGTCACGACTAGCCTACACGGCCTAGCTAGCTAGGCAGTCACGACATAGGCCTAGTCATACAAAAAAGAGTTAATCATAAACACATCAATTACCAGAGTAACTGTATCTAGAGAGTGCGTACTGAACATCTTATTAACATAAATATGATTGGAAATTCTCATCTCACACTTTAAAAAAGAAGAACGGACAACACGCGCGAGAAGTTTATACAGTAATGTTTTTATTCTGCTGATCTCAGCCTTATGTTAAAGTTTTGAATGAAAATAATTTCTTAGGCAAGGATTAGATCTTTAATAAGTGTATAAAGCAATTGAATTGTACTAATAAAATAAAATATTATAATTAAATTTAAATTAAGAGAGTATATACAGTAATGTATCCATAGTATATATACAATTTAAATACGTAAATATTAGCAGGTTTTAGACGAATGTCTGCTAAAATATTGACCAAAGCCTTAGGTCAAAAGTTATCAAAATGGCTGCTGTATGCCGGTTGTCGAAACTTTTCTTCCAACAAAATGCTAGGTATTTCCAACGTCTGCAAGTTTCAAATCCTACTTTAAGAAATAAGTTGCCTACTTTACAACATGTTTTATTAAATTCAACTACTAGCAAAAGTGACCAAGCTGCAATCAGTTCAGAATTTGTTGTCGGAAAAGGAACGGAGGTCACCCAAGAAGAAATTGACGAAGTGATCAGACGGGGGGAAGAGGATCTGGAAGACCCTGCTCATCCTGTATGTCCTAGCCTAGCATAATATTTTTTTTTTTTACAAATTTGATTGATCTGTTCTAGGTGTAGTTGATATTATAAGATCTCATGATCTTATTTTTCAAGAGAACACTTTCGTTTTAGAAATGTATATTTAAATTAACACTATGACCGCCAGGGGTTTAAAAAGTATATTATTATTATTATTTACTTTATTAGGCCTAGGGGCCTACCTAGGCCTACAGGTATCAGCCACCGCCAGACTTTTTAGCAAATTTTTACACTTTTCCGAAGCTTGTTGAGATTGCCTAGGCCCCTATGTGTTCAAATTGGTATGTAGTGACTACAAGAACTAGGTAGGCCTACACGCCCAAACATTTTAGCTTAATAAATGGTACCAAACACTTTATTCTAATCACAATCTGTCTGTGACTCGTAAACAGTAAAATGAAAATGACTCACTTTTGGAGATTTACGCAATTTCGCACAATGAAGCGACGAATGAATAATTTTTAAAAAGTATTATAAATAATAAATAATAAAATATATTTCAATGTTTCTTCAGGATTATGTGAAACATGGTTTTCATGAGGACCCTTACTCTGATAGAATACAATCCAGGCTGGTGTTTTTTGGCATGATCTCGCTTGCAATGGTGCTTGGAAGTTTATTTATACATTACACACCTGATCCGTAAGTTATTGTCTTTATTAATATATTAATATTCAATGTTTAACATAACACTGTGCATTTCTGACAGAGTCTGAATACAGTGTCGGTACTATTTATATCTTTGAAGCTTGGTGAGAGGGTGGTTGGAGTGTGATGCAAGAGGGTTTGGGAGCTGGTTGTGAGATCCTTTTATAATTTGTTTCCTTTTGATAAAAGGTACATGTACATTAAAAAAAAAATAATAATACTAATAATAATTATCAATAATTACAACAATGATGTAAATAATAATTTCAGTATTTTTTTTCAAAAATTAATTATATGTTATACGATAATGATTAAACTTAAAAGTGACTGTAAAGAAAAGAAATATACATACCTTAGAATAGCAGCAGTATATACTATTTAGTGGTCCACCATCCATGCGATTGCTAATTGGTATTAATGATTACAATTGTACTGTAATGTAATTTAACTCTAACTGTCATCAATGTAATTTAATTTTTTAATTCTTTTTTATTTTTATTTACTTTCACCAAAATCCAATGGATATGACAGAAATAATAATAATATAATAATAATAAATTCAAAATAAAACAAAACAAACTAAGTGTGTATATGTAACAATAATTGTCTCAGAATCGCTAATTGGACATTGCTGGTAACTTAAGCACTTTCGTCCATAAAATTTTATGATGGAAACAATTGATGCTATCACAAAAAATATCAATAGATAAATTTGAACTGGAAATGTCATTATGCAACTTAGAAAGACGACAAGTACAGTAAACCCATTTTTTACAATATTTCTTCTAGATGGAACGAAAAATAACTTCTGTTTTGAATTTGTATTTTAATGTTTTTTTTAATAATGGGACTGTAGGGTCAATTATCTGGTTTGACCAGTCAATTGCACCAATGTTGAAATCACCAGCTAACCATAAATGACAATCCTCAATCCTTTTTATTTAGGGATTATTAAGTCTACTAAGGTAGACACTATCAGATTTGGGTGGTCTGTAGAACGAACCTACAGTACTAGAATTGGTTAAGCCCCAATTATATTTATCTGTTGCCAGATGATTTTCACGTCAGTGTCTAAATCTGATCTCTCAGAATTTTATAAATTTTGAATAATTATGTAACTGACTTCATTTCAACAGGAAAGGAAGAGAATGGGGGAGAAGAGAGGCTAAAGTTGTTTTACAAGAGCGAAGAGAACAAGGCCTGCCTTTGATAGATCCAAACTTTTGCCCCCCTGAGAAAGTATTTGTACCGACTGATGAATGGATCGCCGAACATGGCCGAGTTTAAACCCACCTGTTAGTGTTAGTCTCACACAGGTATTTTCAGATGCTGCCTGTTGAAAGAACTTATAACTAGAGTATAATGCTCGTGAGTGATGTTAATCGTGTTATGGCATGACTGCTTCTTCATCCCTCTCTAGATGCCAGTTATCTATTGTGTTGCTAGGTGACATCTTTGAGCTACGAGATACGACAAGTTGATCGAGGATCCATAAATACTCCCAATAAAATGAATTATTCAATACTGAATCGGTGGCTTGGGAATTCTGTTAGAACATTTTATTATTCAATTTACTCTGTTCATGTTGCATACATTGTGCCATGTAGACAGCAAAGATAAAGATGGAGTGTCTCTTAGACGAATATCAAACCTGCACAAGTTAATACTGTATATTAGTAATTATATTAAATATTTCTGTTTATAAATGATGCAAATGTTTTGCTATTGTTATCAATCATTTTTAATGACTGCTGAACAATAATTAAATTCTATTCATAAATAAGACTAATGAGATTTCAACATCATTCATTTAGTTTCTAATTATCTATATTTGAAATGGATTAATAGTTTTTCCCCTAAGTATGATTAATTGATAGAGCCCTGAATGTTAATTTACCATCATGCCAAAATTCATCATTTGGTAATACAGTACTGTAGTTTCATTTGACTAGGATGTATTTCTTGAGGTAAAATTATGTGATTTGTTTGGACTCTCCCCTCCCCCCCAGGTTATTTTAAAGTGGAGTCATAACTATTGATTTAATTCTTAAATGTAGGGGTTGTTTACAGCTAAAAATACCAATAAAAGCACATATAAAATGATTAAACAGCTTCTTTACCCGTAGTATAAAACTGACGTTTCACTTCACTCTTCAAAAGGTCAAAACTCCATTTTGTCACATGGATATATCAGTTTATTGAACCTTTACATAAAAAGTATGGATTGTTTTTTTAAGCTGTTAATAGGTCGTAAACTGCCTGTCTTCAACACAGAGCCCACATGGATTGTACAGATAGACTTCAGTTTCCATTGTGATGCAATTTTGTTGAAATAAAAAAATGATTGATTTTACTTGTTTTTCTTTTTTTTCTTTATTAGATGTCATATCAATTCTGCTAGTTTTTCTATGCATTTGTTACTGTATATACAGTAGTTAATGAGTAGTCTTTATTTAATTGGGTTTAAGCCATCACTTTGAGGAAAACATTAGTGAATAACAATATCTGTTGTAAAAACAGATTATATTTCCAATTCAATGTCTCAAGTTCAGCATTGTAGGTAATAAACATGTAGGGAGTGCTGTAAAGTAAGTTTGTGCTTATTTTCGCCCTATGCCTGAATACAGTACTAACAATATGTAGGCCATGTAAAATGGGCGAAACTGCAGCATACCTTCAACGAAAAAATGGAACCGCCCGTCATATTCAGGCCCATTGTGCTGCCTGAATATGTGGGACAACTCAATTTTCTTTTATGCTTAAGAGTAAAACAATCAAAATTCTGTGACCGTGTCCTTTGACATTTTCTTCAAAAAATTGAAAGGTGTCTTTCTTTGATTATTACATACCATTTACAGTTTTTTTATGATCCATTCAATAATTTTTGCAAGATCTTTCTGAGAGACAGCAGTAAATACATAACCTCCTTGGTAACTACAGTATGTCTGCATCTCCATTTCTAATCAACATTCAACTTTTACTCCATCCGCATGGTCAACAACCTCATCCTATCAATACGTTTAAGGATTTAGCAAACAGTTTGCAATAATTCTCTATGAAACTTAATAAACATGGAATCATGCAAGAACCACCATAAAAACTCATTAGATAAGTTAATTATGGTCGTTTATCGGTAATATGACGGTATGTTCAGTTCATTACTTTCCTTAAATATGCTTGTTTATTCAGTTTACCTGTTAAGACTCAGTCAGAACGAAATCCAGTAAAGGATTTATCCTCCTTATAACCATTAAAGTGGCTTCATCTCAATTTGATGTATCAGCATTTGCAACACAAAAACATGTTAAACTTATGTACAACCTTTCAACCAATCAGAAATGGAAACCTTCACATATTTTCATTTTTAACAGGAGTACAACTGGCCAAATGATTCTTATGGAGTTATTTTCAGTCTAGAGAAAATGAGAATCTAAACCACGAAGGAGGTAAGGTTTTCACCAGAAGTGAAAACTATTACAAGACATACCTTTAATTCAAAAGTAAATGATAGATAATCACTAAGCTACTGTAAGCGGTTGGTTTGAGGTATTGTTCCTGCTTCTTGTGCCGTAGACCCTGGTTCAAACCCGGCCAGTGTCGGGTTTAATTTGGAGTGCAGAGTTGAGAGGTTTTTATCTGTATGTGCGTTATGTAGTAGTTAAGTTATGCGGCACTGCACTATGGTTGCCGCGGGTGTCCAGGGGCCCAGAATGAATTTCTAATTTCCTATTAGAATGAGGACCAATAAAGAACTATTATTATTGTTATTATTATTATTATTAAAAGAAATAATTAGCTTATCAAATAATGCATGCTTCTTTTTTTTTTTTTAATTTGTGTATAAGTGATTCCAAATTTATCATCATATATTTCATCATCATTTTTTTCCCATTAGATGGATAATTCGATATAGAGTACCTGCAAATAATGTTTAATAGAAAACAACTGTCTCTGAATTTCACTCATTTCAATTGAAACATTAAAGTTTGATGGTGCGATGGCTACTGTTATAAATTATAAAATTTTACACTGCTGTCTTCAAACACACAAAAAAAATTGTATGTCAGGAAAAAACAAATGTGCTCATGTAACACGGTAAATGAAACTCACTAAATGGAAACATCTCGATTTAAGGCATCATTTTTTATATCGTGATTCTTTCATCTCTTAGTGTTTTATTAAATTGCACTAACTTCCAAAAGCAAAACAAAAATCAATAATACAGCATCTTCTTGTGTAAAACAATCAAAAACTCTTTTTGGATCCTAATTAAACAATATTACATACAGTCACCTCAAAAAATTGTCAAAATAAAGAAATATAACAGAAAAAATGTAATTTTTTTACAAATCTATTTACACTATGTCCAAACACAGGACATAATTAATTACATCGCTACTTTATAAATGTTCTCTTTTAATTGTATTATACCAAATCAGTCCACTCTTTGTTAATCACCGCAAGGGATTAAATAAACATATTGCAAAGAATTATCTCAGTTTGTTACTCAAATTCTTATCTACAAAATTACTACAAACTGAATATAAAATGCTAGTATCTTAGCAACAACCGGTTCTTTATATCTGTGTTATAATAGTAAACAAATAGTACAATTTGACATTTGAAAAAAATCTTCATAAACATATACACTGTTACCGTTGCTAAAGATAGAACATCAACAAAATCATTGTTACTATTGCTACGTTGGATAGATAAATGCTGATGGTTACTGTTTACAAATGCGACTTAATATGATATGGTTTTCTATAATAATCAACAGGTCCTACATATTATTGAAATAAATTTGTTAAAGCTATAGTCATGGGGTCCTCTTGCTCAATTTCTTTCATATCCACTGTCTATTACCTCTATCCTTGTCCAGTTTCTATAGCCAAAACACTCGCCATATGCCCAGTGTTCTATGATCTCTATAATAAGTGATGTATCTGGGGGTTTTAACAGGGAGCGGGGAATTAGGGGAATAAGAAATGAGGTGATCATTAACTATTAGGATGCAGTGGTAGCTCAAGAAATTAGCCAAAGGATCCAACAAGTTGGTTCGAACCAAAGGGCTAGTGTTTAGGGTCACGGTTGGGAACTAAAACCCCTGGTGGGCTCAAGGGGTAGAGATTTTGCAAATATAATTACCATAAATTTGGTTGGATCACAAATTAATAATTTTAATAGGGGTCAATTCCTTTCTGGGGAGGGAAAAACAATTGTCCTCAATCCCTTTTTTTGTGCCACCAATGCTTGGATAAAATATTTTTGCTCTGTAAATTTCTAAGAGGAGGGGGAGAGGGGGAGGGATAGAATGGGCGAGCTTGAGCCTCCCATGTTTGCCCTTTGATATGCCATTAAACTCTAAACATGTTTCATACTAATATGTTTGACCTAACGTTCCCTATTGTTTGAACAAGTATAACTATATGAGGTACATCATAAAGTCCACAGGAATGTTTTCTAGAAATTTCACACAATAAAAAAATATTTGCACACGCAGCCGCAATATCAGATGAGGATAAACACCCTCATCCAGCTTCTTATTCATAAGAACCATCCTGGGTTAACAACCATAAGTATGGCAATATCAATGATAAAATTACTTAATTTTTCGGTAACTTAATCTGAAAGATCTTAAGATGATTCCGTTTCAAACAACATTTCAATTAATAATATTAATATTACTAATAATATTAATAATATTATTATCTTAATACTAACATTAAACATCATCATTATGATACCCTAAATATATCATTAATATACCAAAAAAATGCATAAAATTAAAATACAAAAATTATAATTTCACAAAATATTACATAGTGTGTACATATATAATTATGTAAGCGCACATTTGAATTTACCTGAATGCTAGCAAACCAAGACTCTTGTAAGTGATAATCAGAAAACACTAAATCTACAAATATTAACCTGAATCACACAGAAAATATATAAACCCAGAAATACTATATTTGATTGACATATTGATAAATTATTTATGCATTGGTAATTTTTTTTATATCATTTCAGACCATCACTTTAATACTTACTGTAATTAGAATTACAATTTTAATCTTACAAATGTAAAAACCACTTTTCATTTCAATTACTCACGAAAAATGATTTTAAATATTTCATTTTTTATTACACCTTCAGCAAATCAAACATGGTACATAAAGCAATGTGCTAGTACAGGCAAGTTATTTTGTGACGTGTAGCAACTGCAGCAAGGTTGAATATGAATTATTTAGTTTAACCCAAGAGGGCGCACTTCCCCAACTCTATTTCATTAAAAGTTCTTTACTGTGCAAAAATTCTTAAATTACATACATAAGTGGGGGGAAAAAAGATAAAAATATATAAAATACAAAATTTTTTGCATTCTAGCTTTTAAATAGCTTTACACTTTAAAGTGTCCATTAATTTATTAAAATTGATTTTATTACTAGCTATCGTTAGCTACCCAGGTGGGTAATCATTAACAATAAAAAAAAAAACTGATTTATCAGATTTTACACATATCAGCAAGTTATATATTTAAACCATTTCCAGAATATCAAATTACATTTGACAAAACCTTACCTAATATGGTCATGATGACATCACATCATAACCATATATAGGCATATCGTGACTGTATATTGGCATATAACAGTTTTTTTTGTCAAATAAAATTTGGCATTTTGTGTTTTACATCATTTGCACAGCAGACAACCCTAAAGTATACATTCAATGTATTGGTAAACTGTATAACTTACATTAGGAAATTTAATTAGAATTTCTACACTTAATTGTTAATTATTTTAAAAGTATTTATACAAAATAATCACTATATGACAGATTAAATGCAATCAAAAATAATTATTATGATTAAGCTAAATTAGGAATTTAAGTTCATAAAATTATAGTACAGGAAAAAAGAAGGGAATTATTGAAGATAATAAGATGATGCTTGTTTTTTGACGAATGATATAGTCGTAAAAAAGTTCAATTCAGAGTCCCAATCGCCAGGCTGATATGATAATTTTGTGTTACCGTAGGCCTAGTTCGAAGCAGCAAACTTAGTACATAGTACAGCCAATGGGTTGAGAGCAGGTACGACTTCCCCTTGGTCGATTAGCCCTACAGGTTTGGTTCTCATCATTGATCGTCCAAATATCTAGTACTTGGCAATATTAACACGGCAATCAACCACAACAGATCTTTACTTCTTTTCACCATTGCTGGCGGCAGCAGCAGCTTTTTTCGCAGCTAGGCCCGATGCTCCTCCTAGGCCTAACATTCTCATGTGTCTGATAACTGATGTGGCATTGAATGCTTGCTATAAGACAAAAAGAGGAAAACATCGTTTAGATGCAAAAAAAAAAAACATTTTAAACTAGAGCAATCACTGTTTAAAGTGCATATCTTTACCCTGTGCCTGAATACAATACCAACAATACGTAGGCCATGTGTGATTGGGCGAAGCTGCCACATACCCTCAATGAACTTATGGAATCACCCATCATGTTCAGGCACATTATTTTCAGAGTGCTGCAGCCTACCCTCAAGAAAATAATGGAATCTCCCACCATATTCCGGCATACTCTTTTGAGTGTTGCCTGAATATAAGGGACGATTCCATTATTTTTTTTTATGCGGGGGTTAAAAAAAATTGAACTTTCATGACCTTGAACTTGAAAATTGAAAGGTGTCTTTCTCTGATTATTATGTACCACTACACTGAATTTTATGATGATACATATATCAGTTTTTGCGTAATCTTGTTAACAAACAAACAGAGAGACAAAAAGGGATACTGTAAGTAACTTTTAAAAAAATGTTATTTGGCTCTACATAATTTTACGTTTGACATTTCAATTAATATCTTGTGACCAATTTAAACTTGGAATTAAATTGAATACTCGGATCAGATCTTTAGACAAGAAATACATTATTCTATAATTCACAAAATATGAAGCATTTCCATGATAATTCATGCTTAACAAATTGTCAGTCTATTTTTAGAGAAGTGGATTGAGTAGTTTGATGTATGATTTTTTTCTTCATGCTGTCATTAATAACGTAGTAGAATAATTAATAAAACAACATGAACAACCACAAGGGATGTTTTGGCATTATCTGGATCAGATATTTATATACCATTAAGCAAGGAAATGTAAATGTTAATTGCAATACTGTAATTGATGACTGTTTAACCTTTACGAAAAAAATAACACAATATTGATTGGTTTGTTTTCAAACTAAACTACATATCTGGTTATTTTATTCTTTTAAAAAATATTAAATTGCTAACAAACAAACAAATAAATAACAAAAAAATTGTTTGTGTTTGAAATCTGACAGGAATTTGTGGAGGACCTTCTTTACTGTAATTGATGACTGTTTAACATTTAGGAAAAAAATAACACTATATTGAATGGTTTGTATTCAAAACAAACTCAACTAAATTTTCTGGTTATTTTTTTCTTTTAAAAATATCATATTGCAACCAAATAAACAACAAATCGTTTGTGTTTCATGTCTAGTGGAAGTTGGAGAAGGCCCTTCTTTACTGTAATTGATGACAATTTAACATTTTATGAGAAAAGTAATACACAATATTGATTTGTTTGCAAACCAAAACTTAACTAAATTCTGGTTATTTTTTTATTTTAAAAATATTATATTGCAACCAAATAAACAATAAACAAATCGTTTGTGTTTCACATCTGGTGGAAGTTGGAGAAGGCCCTTCTTTACTGTAATTGATGACTGTTTAACCTTTACGCAAACAATAATACACAATATTGAATGGTTTGCAAACCAAACTTGACTAAATTTCTGGATTCTACCGAACAAACAATCGTACCAAATAAACAACAAACAAATCGTTTGTGACTCACAATTGTTTCAAGTTTGAAGAAGGCCCTTCTTTACTGTAATTCATGACTGATTTAACCTTTACGAAAATAATACACAATATCGAATAGTTTGTTTTCAAACCAAAATCAACAAAATTTCTGGTTATTCTTTACTTTTAAAAATATTATATTGTTACCGGGCTTGCTACACACTAAACAACAAACAAATCGTATGTGTTTCGCGTCTGGTGGGAGTTGAAGAAGGCTCCTTTAGCGGTATCTGACACGTCTGATCACCTGATATCTATTGATTAGTAAATTTGACAAACAAAAATGTGATAGTTTATCTTCCAGCATTTTATTTCGAAAGATATATACAGATATTATTTGATACAAATCATCATTCTTTCTTCAATATTTTTAAATTTTGTTCACCCTTCTGTAAGCATTTTGTCAGTGGCCATTTTATTGACTTGCCCTTTTAATATTTGACATCCAAAGGGCATGTGGTGAATCCCAAGAATCTAGTTCAGTGGAACACGATCAATACACCATTTCTATATCTATTCAATCCCTATTCAAAGCTACTTAATATACAAAATATGCAAGAAATATCATCAGCGTACATATTTCAAGTGTTATACCAAGTCAACATATTTTAAAGATAATATATCTGTGGTAAACTCTGAAAAATGCACAAAAAATAAATTAAAATATGAAAATGCTTGTTAAAAACATCAAATATGTTATCATTATCCAATGAGATGCAGATGGGATGAATACGTTGACAGATTTTTTTAATACAAAATCCTTAAATTGATTACTAACCAATTTAAAGGTTATGCAGAGTATTTCAAAAACACATTATTCATGCCTCTTTTTAATATCAGGGAAATTATTTTCTAAATCTAATTTTAAATTGAAAGCAAATCAGTTCAGTATAGATACATAAATGTACACAGGCAATACGCAACTTATATACTGAATTTTGTTTTAGTTTGATATATAATACCCCTAATAAGCTGTGATATGGTGAAGGAATATGGGCGTTTGATCCAGATTGATGGGTCGGCATCGTCATGTGTGACTGACACTACGTTGATAGTATCATGAGGATCTTGTACATCAATTATTTGTTTTAACTGTGTCTCTTGTAAAATGACCGAGGTAACTGTCAGTAATACTGCATTGATGAAATCAAATGAGCTTTAATTTTTTTTCTTTACAAACAAATAAATAATTATTTAAAGTATAAAATGGTCTAAAATGTATACAGTAATAATGGTATTCTCAAAAAATTTTATCAAACCAACATATATAATTTTTCTGATAGACCAAACTTTTCCCTAACTTTACCATTTACATGCTAGTATGCTTTATCATCTCTTGCTTGGACCCGACCAAGGGACTACATGAATACCACCCCTATTGGATTATGAATATGCTTATCAAACAAATCATGTCTATGGAAGGTTAAAAAAATCAATGCTCTGATCAAACACGGTTTGACCGACAAAAATCTGGTAGCGTATGCCTTCTTTCTTCCAGAGAAGTGAAAATTTAATTACAAAGTTGCTAAGAGAGACGTGCAGTAGCATAAAAGAATATCCTATGAGTGTTTACATTATCACAAAGTAATTAACAAGGACGTAGGTATAATATAAATGACATTTAAGACTATACTGCGCAAATCAAACATGATATTTAAAGATATATCCTGTAAAAGTACATATATCTACACAAATTCAGCATTTTTCATACCACACAGTGCACCCTCCAATTTAATATCCCTTTGAGACCACTTTTCCAAAGACCCAAATAACAATCTTCAACCTTTTAACACAAAGCTAGCCCTTTAATTGGAGACCAACACCGAGACCACCCCAAATTTTCAGGTCCCAAATGTGGTCTCGAATTGGAGGGTGAACTGAATTTATAGCAGGTAACGCGCTTCCAGCTTTACCTAAAAGTAAAGCTGATATTTAGGGCCCTATTAGATAAAGAAATACTAAGATGCTTCAAAAAGTTGCATTAAAATTGGCAAATAGGAAATTGGACATTTTTATCAGTTGTGAGAAAAAAATCATGTGCTCTCACACAACCAACCAACAATTCCACTTTGATCAAGAGTTTTCCTCAAATAATTCAATCTCCCTTACCAACAAAGAATTTGCAAGACAGTCAGTGGCATATCTAGGAGTCTTGAAATGAGGGTGCTGATGGGGGGGGGGGGGAGGTGAAGGTGAAGTGATTTTTTTTATGGGGAGGCCAACTGGGGGATGTGAGTAATTTTTGGGGGCATGCGTCCCCTGCGCACCTCCCCCAGATATGCTAATGAAGAGTTATTTAGTCCAATATTTAAGCAGAACAAAATTGTTCAAGTATCTCATTCTAATGTAAGAAACAATAAAGTTATCTTGTATGCTGTATATATTAATTCTCATGTGCCAGGTTGTCAATATAACTCCCTTTTATCAACCCATCACTGTGCCCACTTCTACTAATGGTATTCTATCTCCTTTTTTGCATCACATAATTGAGAAAAGGTGCAAGTAAACTGTCTCGTTATCATTGAGAGAAAAAAGGATGGTAAGTTAATGGACTTGATTTACGATGTCAGGTGGAGCGACTATAGCAACGCAGGATGGTGTCAAAGTTCACTAATGAACGCAGGCCTTGATCTTCTATGATTTGTTGATATGTCTTAAAAATTATTTATCATATTATTGCACACTTCATTATAATCATAGATAATGGATATTTCTCTGGTATATAGTTATTGAACATGATTTCATAATTGTCCTCAATCTTATCCATTTCAGTGTAATAATACCTGATATTCCTTATTAACTGATTATTATAAAATGCCTTGGAGTTCTGTTGTTAATAGTACATGAAATTTACTGATCTTATATAATGGTGTACTGGATACAATTAAAGGTGATTCTGCAAACAATTCTGCATTAGTTTTAGGAGTTGGTAAGATTGTTTTCAATATGATTTAATATTAGTCCTTGAATATGATTGATCTTGAAAATTCTTCTCACGTCAATTAACCAACACATTAGTTGCATAAATACTATTCCTCGGACCATAAATTGTCTGCACTATCACACTCTCTTTGACAAAAAAACTGTATGCCCATATATAGTCATAATGTGCCTATATATGGTTATGATGTGATGTAATCATGACCATATTTAGGCAAGTCACAAGTTTTTGGTATTTTTATATTCTGCATGAATCCTTCTTTAAAACAGTGTTTATTGATGGAAATTGGTTGAGTATTAGGATAGTTATGAATATTTAATTCATTGGCTTTCAGCCATGTAGGTTTTGAGTAAACAGCTTCCAAAGACTCTAAAATCAATAATTTATTATTAAGATTTGTATTTTGTATGTTATAAATAATTCTAATATACTTTTCAGTTAGATTTAGTGATTGATATTTTGCAGAAATTTTATAAAATGCAAAAAC